AAAGCTTCACTGATTTAAAATAAAAAATCATGAAGACAGAATTGTGAAATTCATTTTTGTTTTAGTGTTATATCTCCCCATTTATCATATTTGTTGATACATTTATATATCAGATGTTTATGTTATTCAAGCACTAGTCAGAATGTACAGATAAACTATAATATCAATGTTGAAATCAATAAAGATCAGAAGTGTTTTTCTTATTCTGAGATTATCATTGAAGAATGATTTCTTGGGACAAGGCTTGAAAAAGATAGCATTCTTAATACATATTCATGCAAATATTCACATAGGTATATATTTATTTTATATTTTGTCTATTGAATTCCTATTTATTTAAAAAGATATTCCTGTGTCAATTTGTACTAGACAAACCAGGGATTTCTATTAAAAAATTACCAAATGAATAAGATTTATTTTCTAAATTAAATAAATGTCTGCCAATCCAAACATCTGCCAGTTTAATGGAAACACCAGAGACTTTGCTGCTAGAAATCAATATTAGAGTTTAGGCCAAAAAATATATGAAGTACTTATGTTATCTTCATAAAATTTTTTTTAATAATACAAAGTTTTGTATTTTTGCATTCTGTATTACATATGGTGTATAAATTCATGGCTAACTTCTTATGTGCAAACCTTAAAACCTATATTTATTGAAGGATACAAATTTAATTCTGGACATGTTATATAGATGAAATATAGACTGTTTGAAATTACATTTCATGGAATATGAAAACATTTAAAAATCAGAAAAGATGAAACCAAGAGATCCTTTTTAAATTAGCAATCAGAAAATGATGCAAATTATATAATATCTTTGAAGGCTAAAAATGATGACTTAGTAAAAGTGAAATTTCAAAAAGCCTGTATGATCTTCAAAGCATGGAATATTTTGTTCATTTTATAAATTTCCTTAATGTAAATGCAAATTGTTTACATTTCAAACAAAAAAAAAACTTTCCTCCTGAATGTTTCTTCTATTATAACTGATTAAATAAACATATTTAAATCTTGTAACTTCCATCTCTTTGATTTACCATGATGTCTTTCTGTGATTGAAAATTTTCCATCTTTCATCAACTGCACTTACTACATTAAAAAAGGGCTAAACTTTTTTAAGTATGTAAAATTCATACAGTTTACCTTCAATAAAGCTGCTCACAATAGCAAGCAGTTTTCTAAAATTATGATAAAATTTGTGCAAAATAAGAAAATGTTATAATATTGATGCTGGACAATCCCATGGACTGAACATGTGAGTAATGATAAAATCTTAAGAAAAAATGAATACAAAAAGGACATACTTAGAATTGAAATTTCTAGGGAACATTTGACACTCATAAGACATAGTGAAGGTAAGAGGAACAGAGAAAAACAGTAAATAGCCTACCTAATAAGCTTGTGTAATTAGGTGGCAGAACAGAGCTTAAAAGAGATAGCAAAATAACAAATTTTACTAATAGCTACAAAAGACAAGAAGTTAAGAGCCATGATCACCCACGTCCTGAAGGAACATAGCACATAGAAGATTATATATATATATATATATATATATATATATATTTCAATACCTCTCCAATTATATAGAATTGAAGAGTTATTTACATTAGTACGGCATATTGATACAAAGCACTATTAATTTGCTATTGATGCATAAAAATCAGAATTGTAACTAGATAGTTATTTGCCTATATATAGTATTTCCTATGTTCAACAACAAACACACTCACTGTAACTTTTAAAACTTTCTTTGCAGTCCATTGATCTATTATTAGTGTGTACCCACAACTGCATAATCCATTTCTGTAGTAAATATTAGTTTTCAGTTCTTATTATAGTCGTCCAAAAGATATTGACTTTGTCATTTCTTATCTTATTAGCTTTAGATACATTAATATCTTTTAGATTATAGAAAAATAATTCATCTGTCATTCAATGAAATTAAATAAGACCAAACTTTCAATATAGTTGGAGTACAATTATACAGAATAATATTTAGGAATAGAAAACTTTGTGCTTTTTATCTTTGTTGCTAGTATGACATTCCAAAATTATAAGGGTTAAAGTAATAGACTCAAGCAAAGTAAACAAAGTGGACTATTTTTACAAGAAATATATTTTGTAAAATCTAACAATTCATATTTTTATTTAAAATGATGAATTTGTAATTAAACAGATTGTGAATGAGGACTACTTTTTTTTAAAATATATAAATTAGTTTTCATTTTATTCCTTAATAGAATATAAACCAGAATTTCAACAATCCTGATAATAAAAATAAGAGCATGATGAAATAAATTAGAGTAAAATTTAGAGTCATAAGATAGAGAAAAGTGAATCATTATTTAGGGAAAATAAAAAAGGAAGCAACAAAATTATAATGATGAATGAAAAAGACAAAAGCTTAGTTTAATTTTCATTTCCACATTTTTGCTCTTTTGTTCATCAAACTATGTCAAATAAAATATTCATTTACTTTGGTTGTCACATATAGGATTATATTTATAGAGCACTCATTAAATATCTATGGCTAATAATAGCGACCAATGTGCTACAGTTAGTGCTCAAAATTAAATTTGATTCTGGTACAAATCTATATGTCTACATCTTTATATAACAGCATGCAAAAAGCTATATTTACATCATCTGATGATTAAAGAACCAATTTTACATAGATTATCTTATTGAAAGAATAATTATTTTGCACAGTCATTAACATTCAAGATGAACAAGTCATTTGATCTTGCCTGTTACTGAGTTCAAGTTCTTGAAATAAGAAGCTATTAGAAAATGTTTAATATTTCATTTCATAATTACAGAAAATATCATTAAAATTAAAATATTTCATTTTCATCAATAATACTCTGTACCTTGTATCAATAAAAATCATATCCACAGCTAACCAGGGAATTTAACCATATTTCTGAGAAATATGTTTCTGTAAAAGTGAAACTATTATAGATAGGAGATAAATAAATAGTGGATATTATGATGTGGTATTATTCGTTTATAGTAATATGCACCAGTAAAATATAAAATTATTGTTTTTAATTAGAGGTTTATTGTTTAATATATATATATATATATATATATATATATATATATATATATATATAAAAATGTGTGTGTGTGTGTGTGTATATATGTAAAAATGTGTGTGTATATATATATATATATATATATATGTAAAAATGTGTGTATATATATATATATAAAAAATGTGTGTATATATATATATATATATATATATATATATAAAAAATGTGTGTGTGTATATATATATATATGTAAAAATGTGTGTGTATATATATATATATATATATATATATATATATATATATAAAATGTGTATATATATATATATATATAAATATGTAAAATGTGTGTATATATATATATATATATATATATATATATATATAAATATGTAAATGTATATATATATATATATATATATATATATATATATATATATATATATATATATATATATATATATATATATATATATATATGCAATTTTTCTATATATTATGTATATATTATATATGTGCCATACTTATTGGAAAGCACTCAATATCAGTGATAGAGCTAACATATTTAGTTGGATTATGTGAGTTTGTGACCTTGGGTTTCCTGTCCTTTGTGATCATCTGATGATCACAAAGAGTGTGAAACCCAGGGTCACAAACTCACATCAATCCAACTAAATATATGTATATATGAAAACTATGTAAACTTTTAATATTACACATATAGCTTTGTATTTGTTATCACTGTTTATATTACTATGTTATAATTATATATGCATGAGTATATATGCACAGACATGCACAAATACACACACAAATATTCATGCATGCATGTTCTCTTGTATAATCGTATTTTCATATATTTTAAGCCTAGCCTAAAAGTATATAAATATATGCACATACATAAATATATTTCTTATATACAAAAGAAACCATATAGTTATTACATCATTATATACAAGCATGATCACAAACACAAACACATAGACATATATATTTTACATAAAAGAGTAGTAAACTAATCATTTGGATATATTTTTATATATAAATTTCTTGTCTACCCATATATATATATATTTATTCACAAATATATACAAATATTCAGAGATGTAGTGATATAAAGAAACATGTACATAGGCATGTAAATATCAACATATGAATGTCAACAAATACTGATACGCACATGAGGCGTAAATTCTTGAAATACCAACACATGAATATGATTGTGTCACTACTAAAAATATCAGAGAAATTATGAGTTACATTATCTAGAACTGATTTTTCTTGGAACTTTGTGGTAGAAAGTTAAACATAACACAATCATATTCATGAATTGGTATCTGTATAATTTACATATTAAAAAATATATTGCAATAATATATTCTTTTCCTTACCTTATTTTATCTAGTTGTTCTTGAATTAGACATTACTAAGTTCTGTCCTTATAAAAGATAGAGGCTCCGAGTGATTAGTACATTATTTGTTTTGTTGACTAAACTAAAAATATTGAAAAAGATGAAACAAATAAATACACACTAGCTTAAATTTCAAGGTAAATAACTCTAAATTTGAACTATAGACTATTCAAATGGATCACTATTGTATCTGTTTGCAAAACAGACAATATAAAAAGAGACACTATATATTTATGGGTTTTATTTAAATTCCTATTTGCCTGGCAGATGCAGAACAATCAATTAGAGAAACAGTTAAATCTAATATTCAATCATATAAATGGAAAATAAAGAAAATAGGGCTGTATCTTTTTATTTGTTCCTTTAAACATTCATGCAAGCATTTTATTTTCACAAGAATTTATCAACATGCTTGTTTATAATTTTAAAATATAAACAAAGTTTTTACCTTACCTCATTGTTTGCAGGCCTTTACCATTTATTTTGTTTATAATTTTTTCTTTTTTTTCTTTGAATGCACACAAAAATGTGTTATAGAAGAATTTGTTTCCTACATTGAAAAACCACTGAGTTGGCAAGGATCATGCAGTTGGAATGAGACATTAAGCCTGGCTGCCAATACCACATGCCAAAACAGAATGAAATTAAACTGAGTGCAGCAGCCACCTGCTTTGTTGAGTAGAGCATCTGTGGGAATGTCCACTGATGCCACTGTGGCTGTTGTCAATAAGGAGTCAGGGCTGTTGCAGAACTGACAGACAGGCAGAGCTGCTGACCGATGACAAAGCCGGCTGCTGCTACTATTGCTTCTACTACTACATCTTTGTTCTGCTAGCAGAGCATGGCTTAGAAAGTCTCTACACATGTAGTAGGAAAGGAGGAGGAAGTGAATGAAAAATGGATGAATGAATGAATGAATGAATGAATGAATGAATGAATGAATGGCTGATAAGGGAGAGTAAGAGGGAATGGAGAGCAACTTGAGTAAGGAATAGAATGAAAAAAACAATGAAAGAAAGTCTTCAAAAAGTAAAAGAATTAAGAACTAAATGACGGAGGAGATAAATAGAAAGGGAAAAGAACAAAGTTTAAAAAGGAAATGAAGAATGGGAAAATGAATGTAAAAAGAAAAGACTGAACAAAGATAGAAAGAGAAGAACATCAAATGATTTCCTGAATTAAAAAATAAAGTGAATAAATGATGGAAATTAAGGGAGAGCAATTAGATGAGTAGGAAGTAAACTAAAGCAATGTGAGAATAAAAGAGTTAGATTGTCATAATATAGAGGAGAGAAATGAATTAAAAACAAAACAAAAACTAGCAAAAGAGACAAAGAAAATCAAAGTTGATGGAAGCTGGAAAAGGGAAGTTTATGAACATAAGAGAAAATGGGCAAGAAGGTAGAAAATGGTGGAGGATGAGGTACAAGTTTTTCTAAGCATGTACAGATAAATACACAAACATTCATTACAGAGACACACACATACCATGATGTTAGAACTACTACTATAGCTGCTACTTCTCTCTAGCCTCTGGAGATTTAAATGATCGATAACATTGGAATGGCCCTGTTGCAGTGATGGCAGCAGCAGCAACAGAGGTAGCACTAGTAGTAGCAATCATGTAACAGTCAAAGCAGAAATTCTGTTGGGAAGTGAAGGAAAAGAGAAGATAAAAAGAAGAAAGGAGTAATCTTGATAGAAGAGTAATTGCGTATTTAATTGAATGACTATACAACTTATTCACACAAAGTTGGGTCATTATCCTGGTATTGAGAAAGCAAAGATAGAAAAATATGGTCATTACAAAAATACATTTATATATGATGATTTGCAAAGTTTGTTATTGTTTATAATGTTTTAATAAAAGTGAAAAAAGAATTGAAAGTGAAAGTTGAAGGAAAAAATAGGAGAGCAATGTTATATTAAGAGAGTTGAACTTGTCAGTTGGGATAGTGATTGATTGTGCAGCCATGAGGAACTAGTGGTGTGACAGATACATTTTAACATTACATATTGATTTTTATTTCTTCTTTTCTTTCCTTGTTTCTTTATCCTCACATTAATCATTTCCTTTACATGTTTCAATTTTTCTATCTGCATCTCAAATTTATTTCACATATTTCATTATTTTATGTACACCTTTTTCATTTTATGTTTGCTCTTCAATTTTTCTTTCACTTTAGACTTTCTTCTCTCTTCTTTATTTCAAGCAATAATTCCTCTACATTTTCCTCATTTTATATATTTTTTCCTGTTCCTTGTTTTTAATTTTTTTTTTCCTTCCTTCCTTCCTTCCTTCCTTCCTTCCTTCCTTCCTTCCTTCCTCCCTCCTCCCTCCTCCTCCCTCCCTCCCAATATTTACTTATTGTTTACTCCTTAATTTATTGATTTAATTTTTATCTTTAATTTTTTTTTTATTCGTTCTATCTTTTCCATCTCATCTTTTTATTCTTCATATTTCACCTCTTCTGCATTTTCATTTAAGTCTAAAAACCAAGGTAATAGATGCAAGCTTATTTCTTTCAAGGAATAAAGGCAAATGATCAACTTTGACATCTGTTACTAACTTCAGCACTCCATAGCTCAAAGAATTCTGTTTCAGATTCCATAAACATTTTCCATGTTGATTACATTTACTCCAAGAATCCCAGCAATTGCTTCATTTTTATTCCAAAACTTTATACCTTTTTTTGTTGTCAGCATGGCATGTCACCTTAAAACAACTTCTACTGACATTTTTTGAAAAAAATGCAGCAATTTTGGGATCAAAAAGGAAAGTAAAAGTAACAATAGAATAACTGAAAGCAGAGAAAGTACAAAAAAGGAGAGTAAAAGTGAGAAAAGAGGCAACGAGAAAAACTTACAAATGAAAGGATAAAGAGAAATAACAAGAGGAAGACAAGAAAGAAAAGTAAATATAAAATCAGTCAATTTAATTTTAAGCTTAAAGAAGAAAATGATAATTTTGAAAAATAGTTAAGCTTATTATCATCACTCTTTATTATTTGTTTTCAGGAAAAGTGAATAAAAGAATGAAAAATAGATGAACATGAGAAAAAAGTAAAGAGAAATGTGGGAGAAACTCACAATATAACAGAGATATGTTGAAGAAATAAAAAAGGTGAATGAATAAGAAGTAAGGAATGACCAAAAGTAAAATGAAGAAAGAAAGAACTTAAAAAGAGGGAGGGTAAAAGGAAGGAAAGGGAAAAACTAAACTTAGAGGCTAATATGAAAAAGGAGAATAAGATAGAAATGGCTTGTGTGATATCACCAAATTTTGGCTGAACCATAACTGTAGTGGACATTACCCCTTTTTCTGGAATGGAGATGACAAAAGAGTCAGTGAGTCATCCTTAGTCATTTCAGACAGAAAAATTCCTTTGTCATGTGTTGGAATGCTTCTGACAAGTTTTCATTGTTGTAGCACATAAGAAAATAACAGAAAGTAAAGAGTTAAACGAGATTTGCATAATCAGAAAATATATTTAGAGAGATCATATGCAAAAATATATGGGGTTTATTTAGGATTTCCAGCATAATGAATAAAAATGAAAACTACAACTGATAAAACTTGTCATTCTTCACAAAAGATAACCTTTTATTTCACACTTGTTCCACTCAGAGTTCAATATCATAGTTTACAGTATTTTCCAAGAAAATATCAATGCTTTATAAAATATTTTATAAATTCTATATTTGTTCAGTTTATATTTTTACTATTGTAAGTTGTCAATGAATCAATAAATCTGTTATAATAAAAATCTATTTGCAACATTCAGTGACAATAAATAAAGTCCAGTGCTAAACAATTTTATAATATATTTGCCATAATTAATATTTAACCAAAGGTAACTTCAAGTTTGCTTTGGTTTTGTTTTTTCCACAGTCAGGGAGTTATAAAATATAAAGAATTAAAATAACAGAAAACAGAAAAATGACTATACAAAATTAGGTTTTTTAAATTAGGTTTTTAAAAAATTAAGGGTAATCATTTTTGACTTCAAGAAAAGTGACTATTTGATACTATAAATAAGGTTCCATGCTCAATTCTTAAATTAAAAAAATGCACCATAATGTTTCCACAGATTCTAACAGGGATATATTTGTTTTTTTTTTTTAATACATGGAGATGTATTTTTATATTTGATTTAATGGTGCATGAAACTATGCATTGATTTAAAAATATGCAAAATTTGTTACTTTGGTTTACTTTTAATTAATAAATATAGTTGACAATATGTTTCATTGGAAATGTCATATGCATTAAAAGTTGCCACTAAAAACAATGCATTGGTAATGTTTTAAATATTTTATTGAAACTCTTAAGAGGCCTGGTGAATTTATCAAATACAATAAGTTGCAAAAGCAAGAATGATGAGAAAAGTAGTTTAAACAAACTTTCATATTATGATAAACAATTTTAGAAATTTAAAAATTAATTAGAAAATATTTTGTGGTAGATAAGGTCTTTAAATTTGGTGTCAAAAGTAGCTTTTCAAAAAATATATTTAAAATATTTCATCTTTGGCATTTGACAAATATTAAGCATTAATTCTTGTGGGATTTTAAGAAAATACTCATTTTGGCAATCAGATTTATTCCAAAAAAAGTGTTTTTCAAAAATCAGGACAATGACGGTCCTTTTGAAGTTGTGATGTCACATAGACATATATATTTTTCAAAAATCATTTATCATAGGATGCTGGCCTTTAAAACTTAAGATTTTATCAAAATGTGAATAATGATGTAACTGCAGCATATTCAGGTTTTCAGTCATTTTCAAAGCATTGACTAACAATTAGTGAATAATTAAAAAATAAGGTAAATGTTGAATAAATAAATTGGAAGCTAACAGAATAAATAACATTTTTGTTTTTCCCTTTTCATATAATTTTTTAGTAAAGATGAAATTTTAAACACTTTTACATTTGGAGAAAAATATGATTTCATAAATTTAACATTGAATCAACAGTAAATTTTTGAAAAAATGATTGGGTATGGATTTAATAGTAGGGAGCAGGACTGAAAAATGGAAATGAGAAAGAAAAACTAAATTTATGAGGTGAAGACATCAATATCTACTTTATTTTCATTTTGAAAATAATTTTTTAAATGATTGAGAGAAAAAGAATGGAAAAAGGGAAACTAAATAAAAATATTTAAAGCTGAAAGAAAAAGGAAACTAAGCAAATAATGAAAAATAAAATAATATACAAATAAAAGAAAAGAAAAAAGACAAAATGGGAGAAGAAAAATAAAGAAAATGGAAAATAAAAAATGTGAAAAAGAAAAGTGAAGGAGAGAGTTAAAAGGAAAGAAAAATGTCTGACAGAAAGTGCTAAAGAAAAAGTAGAAGTGGAAGATAGTATTGAGAAGAGAGTATAGTGAAAAAGTGAAAGTGAAAAAATAAAAAGTGGATGCCAAATTAAATTTAAATGAAATTTTATGTAAATGATTATTGATAAAGATTCATGTCTGAGTTGAAGAAATAATTGCTGAGGTAAAAATTATTTTGAATAATATCATGGAGTGTATTATTATGGTTTGCATCCAGATAGGAAATATGGCATTAATTAAAATTTTCCAGGGCCTTTAAACATTCATGATGATTTAATTCAAATTAATCAAAGGTAAGGATGAAATTAAAAAAAAAAAAAATCTATTTTGTAAAATAACTAACCAAGGTCAAATTTTATGAGTATTTAACTCACTGTTAACAATTTGCAATAACAACTTTTTGTCATAAAAACTGCTCTTTAATATTGTTTTTCAAGAAGTCATAGTAACCTTAATAACAGTTTATGTTAAAATCAATGGATAAGTATATAGGTATCATGAATTACTTTTTTATAAGACTATGGAATTCCTTGTTCGGTCAAGGACATAGGCTAGAAGCAAAACTTCCAGATTTTACATTTTAAGAAATTGATTTTCTTTTGTTTTGGTTGGAATCCACCACTGGGGAAATTGTTGCACTGATCAATATGTTTATTTAAATTTGCTGATGATGAGATGAGTATAACCAGATATTTTCAGATAATTTATAATTGCAAGTCTACACTGTTGATAAGTCAATGATTCTTCTAACTTAGTCTGACTTTGATAAAGTACTTCATGCAGAATGACTATCAAATTAACTCATTTACACAAGTCATAAAAAATAATCATATAAATATATTTTTCCACTTATTATTTTCATAGAGGTGCCCTTTTTGTCTTCATGAATATCTCAGAATAGTAGACACTGCCAGTAGTGCAAAGGAGATATATCTACTAGAGCAAAAGGTTGCATACATTACAAACAAAAAAATCTTTGTGATTATTATTGCAGCAATCATTTATTGAAACTTAGTTCTTTTGGACTTATAAATGAAGACCTCATTTTTTTTCTTTGCAAATTTCTCTGTGAAGGTAAACAATATCAACTATTTCATAAACATGCAAATTCAAAAACTGAAATGACTTAACAACAAAACAGTTAATATTTTCTATTAAATGAATGCAAACATTGTATGCTATAAGAAAAAACATCTTTTTTTTTTAAAAATTAAATTGGTAAAGATTACTAATGCAGACAATTTTAAAATGTTCTGTAGAATTGAGATAACTAAGATTGTTCAAAGTTACTTACTTAAAAAATGTATATCCTAAAATTCATTTTTTGATCATAGTAGCAAAGTTTCATATTTTTGATAAGCATTATCATCTGTCTGAAGAGAAAAAGAACCAAGGAATTGAGAAACTTATTTAAACTGTGTATGATGTGCTACTCAAAAGTTTTGAGAACTTAAAATGAAAAATGGCTTCTTCAAAGGAAAAAAAAAAGAATGTCTTTATTTTCTAGCATTGACTTTCAGAGTTATGTGGAATATCTGGTGATACATGTGAAATGCTGAGGCACTTAATCTGTTCCATTTCCCTGAACTTTTGAGTAGAATCTCAGTTTCTATATATTCTTATGTGTAAAATTTTTGATGACAGTGAACAATTAAAGATGAGGAGAGAAAAAAGAAAGTACAAAGAAAAAGTAGATAAAGGTATTCTGTATTAGGAGAGTTTTAACAGTAGAAATCAAAAGCAGAAAATGTAAAAGAAATGAAAAGAAATTAAAATGAGAAAAATGAAAAGAAAAAAACGTTTCAGTAGAAAAATAGAACATAAAAAAGAAAAAGTATTATAGTCATAATGTCAAACTTGTTATTGAAGTAGATATTCCATGTTTGATCAGAAATTAAATATTTTTTGTCCTTTTTTTAATATTGAAATTTGTCAGCTTCTTGCATGAAAGGGAGAAGCTGTGAGTTGTTCTACTTTGTCCAAAGGAGACTTGCAATAGCAAGTACTTAATTTTCTGGTGTATTTGTATGTCATTTTAATTATTTAGTGTTATTTTATCTTGTAAAATCTTCTGGATCAGACAGAGATATAATTTTGACCAGCAGTCTTCAAAATTACTAAGATAATATACATACATTCATCTAATATATTGCTAACAATAAGACAACCCATCAAGTAGTATTCATGAGGCTTATGATAATAATAATAATAATGGTAGTAATAAGAATGAAAACTACTATCCACCAATAGAATACATATTTCTATCAATTTGGATAAACTGCCGAGAATGAAAGACAAGCTAGAAGGCAAAGAAAGAGGTTAGATAGAGTAAATAGAGTTGAATGTCACCAGACTATCCAAAATGGTGTCAGCTGCCATTAAAGATAATTGTAGCAGTCAGCCATGGTAAAGCAGACAAAGTCAAGTAGGTATATGTCTGTCCTATGAGTAAAAGACGGGTGTTTGCATTTTGGATATAACATTTAGCAATTCAGGTGGTCTGGCCATGTGACATTTGTTGAAGAAATCAGGAGAATTTATAATGAGAATCCTGCCAAACCGCAATGCACATACACATTGTTATAATATAGAATTGCAAAATATAAGATCCTTTTTCTTTTCTTTTTTTTTAGCTAACAGATACTGGAAGCAGTCACAATTCTGAGTTGCTGAAGATGAGAGTAGCCTAAGAACAAATTAAACAGAATTGCTTGTTAATTTTTGCTAATTTTTTTCATGAATTCATCTGATTAAGCTTGTTCCATCAGGGTTGGGAATGGCCCAAAGCACATCAATATTTATTCTGCTTTTAATTAACATTTTAACTGTTTTGAAATAAAGACAAGTGATATAAGAGTAAACAAACTTGTCTGACTAATCATTGATCATATGTCTTTCATAAATTTAGTCTCTCAGACTTCAAGTTTAATCTTAAGGTTTTATGCTACATGGA